AAGCACCCCACACTTTACTTCAGAGCCATTTATTCTTTGCAACCCTTTAAAATAAAGAAATAACATACCAGATCAGAGATAAAGTTTAAATGAGCAACAGAAACTTTTATTCAGTTGAAAAACCCAGAGAGCAGCAGTATGTTGATATTATTTTTTTCCTCAAAGGCATCAGAATTAACAGGATAATAATGCACTCAAAGTGGTACCTTACTGCACAAAAATCTTGTTCTTTAGCAATTTGCTACAGTGTACTCTAGATCTTGCTGGTATAAAAAACAAACAAATGATTATTCAAATGAACAGTAAGGGTTGTGTAGGAGCAGATCTCAAATTTAATACAGAGAAAGATATGTATTTCCATCATCTTTACTATGTAGTAGCTTCAACAATAATGCCAAGTGCTAATGAGAAGGAAGGATTTAATGCAAGTTGTTATCACAAAAGTAAAAACTATTAGAACTGACTTAAACTGATGCAGATACATTGAACAAAATACAAAAGTATTGAAGGTGTAGACCCAATGAGCAACCTACAAAACACTCATACATCAGCAAAACTCCCAGTAAAGCCAGTTTGTTTTACTGGCTTAGCCAAAAGGCTAATCACTTCATCACCTTGTAATTAGAATCACTCCACATTTGCCACATAAAGAGGAGTAATAGTTGGTGACTCCTTATACAATAGGTGGTGAGTGTGGGCCATATAAGCTGGCCCATGTGAGTGCATTGAATGTGTGACGCCATCATAAGGTCTTTGCTCAACGGCACCACATCAATGAACAAAGAACTCAAAACTCTCAGTGTGTTCTGTCTCCATGATGCTAGTGTATTAGCATTATTTTCCACACAAAAATCACTCCATGTCTAATAAAACCAGACACACGCAGAAACCCAGATATTTGGCTCAGGACATGCTTGGCACAATGCGTGGCAGGTGGAGGTATTGGAAGCTAAAACAACACTGTGAAGTCTTTGTCTAATGGCACTGGACAAAGACTGATCAGTGCTTGCACTGCAAGAGTTGGATGATTACCTACACAGTTCAACTCCTTCAAATACTGTCTGGAATGTAAATTAGACTGATAAAACCAAGATATGTTCACTCGGGAACCAAACATCAAAAGCCGTTTCTTTAAGCATATCCAGTCATTACCAGTGGTATGACATCAGAGTAACTGAATAGGAATGGCACTACCCGTACTGGAGCATAACTTCTACCCACCGTTTGATGCCTATGGAGTGCAGACCTTTGATCTAATTTTGGTGTGTGACTTGCCCTTCACACAAACACTCATTATCCGTGGCACAGTCAGAATAGCAGCCAATCCGTACCATCAATTCTTGCTGAAGATTTCACACAGTTTGAAATTAAAGAAAAAATAAATACATTCTTCTTGTGCTGAAAATCTCAGGCTATGGGCCCAGCCATCTGGGTTATGAAGGAAAAAGCCCAGCAAGGGATATGATAGGAAAAATAAATCTGCGCGCTCATGGCAGGAAAACTTTTCTGTCTGTTGTTCCTTGTAACACAAATCTGCATCATCTTCTTCAAGATATTAATTTATAACCACAAACACCTTGGGGATTATTTGGAAATCTATTTCTTTCTTTCCTGAAACTAGTGGCATACCCTCTGGTTCAGCTTAGAAATAATACTGAACCATGCCAAAAACTGTTTATGTCCTTTCAAAGTAGGAGAAATCATACAAGTTGCACTCCATTTACTACTGATTGAATGCAATGACCTGCTCAGCTTCCTTCAGTGATCAAGTGCTCTGTAATTTCTTCTTTTTGTCTGTTATATTGCATGAACACAGCAGAGGCTAGCCTGCTGTCATGCATACAACTCTCTTCCCAGAATCCCAATGAGGAATACGATACAGTATCGCATCATTTTCCATTCTCCTCTTTCTTTTTCTCCTCCACTCTCTCCGTTAAACAGTTCACTATTACCCTCCCATCTGCTGTTTTCATGTCTCATCAAAGATTTCTCTTCCCCTCACCAACTTTAAATATTCACTTCGTGTTCTTTCAACAATAGCTTACAAACACTTGGAAATAATTGAGTCTCAGCGGGCTGACAAAAAAGGGAGCAGTGATCGTGCACAGTGGAAGTGATCAAATATGGCCTTGAGCCAACCGTCTTTGTAGATGGTCTCTGAATTGCCATTGATCTGGGGGTGGATACACCCGAGGAATACATTATTTATGTTCTTTTTTCTCCCGACAGTAGCAAGTCACAAACGGTAATGGGATGAGATGGGTGTCACACCGGAAGAGAGGAAACCAGTGCCGCTGAGTATATGGGCAACCCTGAAGACTAAAGGCCCACAAAACCATGATAGAGGGCTTTCATCTCCTAAAGGAAAAGTAATTGTCAAGTTAATGTACTCCTCAATCCTACTGTACACAGGGTGCCATGTCATCATTACTACGAGCACAGAAAGTGCTTTCAACAACCCAACAAGCCGATCGTATGTCCTTCCAGTAAGCGGTTAAGCCTCCTTCTTTTTCTTCCTGTAGAGCAAAAAAAGTAATTGTGCAATCAAACTGTGCAATCTAGCTGTTTAGCTCATGTGGAACATTTATGTAGTTCTGCTTTCACTTTGTATCTATCTAAATTGCAAAACATGAAACAATAAATGTAGTAAATTTGTTTTAGCATTTTTAGTGTCTAAGGTCATTCAGTTGCTAATTAGCTGAAAGAAGCTAAGCACTTTCTCTTGCAAGCAACACAAACAAGTTGAACAAGCTTCCTGACGCAACCATGTACGATAATTCAATTACTTTCCGTTGAGTGCTCTTGAAATAATGCATCTTAGAATGCTGATAGCATTTAAATTATTTAAATTTCTCTGTGCGTGTTTGTGTTTGCATGAATTAGGCTTGAGTGAAATTTTTAGAAGATTAGTTTAGTGTAGTTATCTTAAAGTCAATACAACCTCACTTTTATGTGTGCTACTAATATAAAACATTGTTGGGGATTATAAGGTATATTACTAAAACAAGAGTTGGATATATTTGTGCTGGAAATCCAAGAAGGCCAAACTGAGTTGCTTACTGTACCTGTAACACTCTGAGCTCTGAGGTATTAAAGATAGAAAAGTCACACAGTGTTATACTGGTACAATAAGTGTTGGTCACATCATTACTAAAAGCTGTTCTTTTAAAGCCATACTGGTTAAGCAGTCTAGCTTAATGCTTTCTAGCTAATTTTCACAGTTAATATGATATTTATAATTTTACAATTCTTGTTCAATATGCTTGAACAAGAAAAAAAATCCTTAGTATCCTTTCAACTTTTTAAAAAATATTCAAGCATGCCTAATTGGCCATAATTTTACTGAAGCAAATAAAGCTCTCAAATTCTGCACAATGACTGTGCAATTTTCTGTAAAGTATAAAAGGAATCGTGTGAAATGTCCCATAAAAGAAGAGCAGCATATTGACAATGACTTCAATACTACCATGATAATTAAACCAGTAGTGCCAATTCAACAATAAAAAATCCACACAGTAACACAGCCCTTCTGTCTTTTTGACAGCACTGAGGACACAGCTCATCATCTGTGGCAGCTCCGTTTCCTCCTGCACATGGTGAATTTAGTTCCAAGATGACAATAAAACCTGTTACAATCACTTCTGATCATAACACATGTTACATAGTTTCCCAGTCTCCTGCAGATCAGACTGGGCATTTCAAGCAGATTAACTCTAAAACCCTCACTTTAAATGAGTCAAAACTGACAGGTAGCCTCACAACAATGTGGCTACAAACAAGCCTTTAAAACTCACCCATTAAAAGCACAGCATTGAAGACAACATTATCCACTCAATGGCAGTAATAATGTGCCAGTGCTACCAGGTTTATACTGAACTGAGCTTATGTACGTTGTTATATGTCTTGATAGAATGCTATTAGAACCCTACAACTACACCTTACTGTTTTTTGTTTTTAACAAAAAGTCAGTATTTTGAACAGTCAGTGTAAGTGTTACATAAACATACACAGAAATATTGGGATTTTTAATTCAACATCATTTATCATGCAACAATATCTAAGCTTCTCAGTATGTAGGCCGTAAACTATTCCTGAAACAGCCTGAAGCTAAAGAAAGCTAACTCCCACATTCACACACAGCCAAAGACACACTTCTTTTCAGAGCCAGTGCTATAAGCCCCCTGACTCTGTGTATATGTATGGATAAGCGCCTGGCTGTGACCAGCAGACCCAGAGTTGGACAGCCAAACATCCCCTGAGGTGCCCCTTTTTCCCCTCCTATTCAGTCTTTCATTGCAAGCAAAGCCCTAAGTGCTGGAGGATTTTACACTAATTTATGTTCATTGATTTGTAATTCACAGAAAGCATGCTAACATCCAAGGCTGGGAATTACACGTGTTGACAATAGCAGTGGCTCTTGTGAACTTGGAAGTAAAGGTCAATATTTAAATTTGGAGCTTTAATTCCCAGCTTATCAAAGAAAAATCCCTGCAATATCTAACATGTCAGGAAAGCTGAAATCCCTGTGTGTGAAGTGTTTTTCAGGACATGTGCATTTACTGTTTTGCACACATTCATCATTTTTTATTTATTTGTCTTGTATTTTCAACACCCTGAATGTTTGGACATGGAATATAGCACATGTACCTGTTTATACTACCTTTCTACCAGTGATGGGAAAGCTTTCTTTTTGGAAGGAAGTAGTTTTGATTCTGTTTACCTGAAAATTTGTTCTGATTTGTTCAAGAAGCTTGTTCACCACCAGTAATAAGAAGTAAGCTAAGAAAGACCAATACGTTGTGTGACTGAGATACAAATTGCTTATTCAGTCATACCCAGAGGTAGCCTAGTTGACTCTCTTGCTCTTCCAGTCACCCACTCACTCATTCCTTCTGTCCCCTTGCACATCTCAACTTTCAGTCCCACTCCCAGCTCAGCAGTCATGACCGACAGGAAGCCTGGAGAGGTACCCTGAGTGTCTCGTTCACCCACTCACTTACCAGATTGGTCACTCCTGTGGCTCTGATGGGTCTCAATAAACTGTAGTGCTTTGTTGCAGTCCAAGTTAGTTTCAAGCCAATCACGCTTACAGCACACTCTAAATGCCTCGCTGGCCATAGTCGATAAAGGAAGAACATTTCAAGTCACACATCTGATGAGACAAGCGGAAGACCAAAAATAATCTGTGCAGAGAGGGAGGGAAACACACTGGCAGGGCCACATTTGCTGCATCTGAAATACTTGCAAACGTCACAGCATTAGTTTACACAGAGTAGAGTACGGTACTGCAAATGTGTACATATATTTTTAGTACAATCCCTTAAAGGTATATGCATGCTAGATGTAACATGGCAACTAGTAAATTAGAGCCACCAGCATTCAGTTGATTCCACAAGTTATGGAATTGACTGACGGGATAGAACGCTGCTCTATAAAAATTCCATTTTCGGTTTGGGGAATGACGGCTGTCAAATATATCAAAAATTCCCACAGGTTTTACTGAAAAGCACATATGATTCACATGCATTTCTTATTCATTAAACCATTCAGACACCGATCAAGCTCTTTAGATGGAATCGATGGGTTCATGAACAACAAAATTTCTCTCAAGACCTCTTCCTCCATGATTGGGGTGCTTTTTTTTTGTATTTAATTTTTGTAGTGCCATGCTTTTGGATTGATTAATACATGCCAAACAGTGTTTACTTCTGATTTTGAAATATACAGATATACAATCATTCGCTTCTTTGCAGGTTATTAATGTAAGATAACTAATTTATATCAGATGATATCCAAAGACAGTAAACATCATCATAGACCAAAAAGTCAGACTGGCACATTCTTATTTATTAAGCCATTATACTTATGTTTTCAGAACACATACAAATCTTGAGAATGACACAAAAAAATTCATTCCTAATGACAACATGCATTCAAATATGAGAGCGGAGGGACATCTTCAATATGATGAATCATTATGTAAATAAAGCCATTAGTGGGCAAGCAATGTTTTCACAGATAATGTCACTCTAAAAACAGATAACATCTTTTTTTTCTTTTTTTCTTTTTGTGTCCCGTTTGGATCTTTAGCCATCAGAATTGTTGTCTTAAGGCCAA